ATGAAAATGATCCATTTTTAAAACGACTGATAACTGGCGATGAAAAATGGGTTGTTTACAACAATATCAAGCGGAAAAGATCGTAGAGCAGGCCAGGTGAACCAACTCAAACAACATCAAAAACTGATATTCATCAAAAGAAGGTTTTGTTATCAGTTTGGTGGGATTACAAAGGAATTGTCTACTTTGAACTCTTACCACCCAACCGAACGATCAATTCTGATGTCTACATTGAACAACTAACGAAATTAAACAATGCAGTTGAAGAACAGCGGCCCGAATTGACAAATCGAAAAGGTGTTGTATTCCATCATGACAATGCAAGGCCACACACATCTTTGGTCACTCGGCAAAAATTAATGGAGCTTGGTTGGGATGTTTTGCCACATCCACCATAGAGTCCTGACCTTGCACCATCTGATTACTTTTTGTTTCGATCTTTACAAAACTCCTTGAATGGTAAAAATTTCAATAATGATGATGATGTCAAATCGTACCTGATTCAGTTTTTTGCTAATAAAAACCAGAAGTTTTTTGAACGTGGGATTATGATGCTGCCTGAAAGATGGCAAAAGGTCATTGATCAAAATGGGCAATAGATTACAGAATAAAGGTATTTAGTTCCATGAAAAAATTGTCTTTGATTTTTTTAAAAATCCGCAATTACTTAGTTGCCTACCCAATATATTAAGGACTGTTACATTGCAGAGTAGAATATTTGATGTGTCGTATATGCAAATATACAAAATGAAGTAATATTAAAATATGGGTAGGGTGAGAATATTTCCACTTAATAGCCTTTGTTACAGAGTGGTGGCCTATAGAACATGTTTTTATAATACATAAATGAAGCATAGTACCCATCTTAATATGTGTATATAGATTTCTTTTGTTTCTACAAATGTTTACAATATACAAGTTCCTTATATACTCACGTACTTTATCCCAAAACCTATCTTTTGTCTTATTGTACCCATTTTATAGCTAGTAATACTGAAGTAAAATCTGAGTATCACATAAATGGCCAAGGGCTGAGCTAAGAAGAGACTGAGCTAGGATCCATCCAAAGCCATTGCTCTCTCCGCATCTCTGCACCTACCTGAAACAGAATCCAAAAAAGCATTACACTTATATGTATTCCAATATTTTAATATTTATTGTAATATTATATATATTCATTGTAGGACAGAGCTCAAGTTTTCCCTAGAAATATATCTCTGACTTAAAATTACAATTAATGGAATAATAAATTTTGAAATATGTAATTCCTTTTACAGATAACTTTTCAAAAATCTCGCCAAGGGATACAAGTGAATATTTGTCTCACATAGGAAGCTTCTAGAAAACACTGTTTCACTTATTTACCCATTTTTTCCAATTTGTCAAAAACTAATTGATACAGAGTATAACTTCAATATCTTAATATGGCTAGGACATTTCCTACAAATCAATTAACCATGATGCAGAGCTTGAAATCACACTTAACTGCTATGTGATCAAAAGATAAACAACTAGAGGTGTCATAATTGCATATTTTTGTTATCAGTCTTCACATTTTTAATGGACTAAAAGCACAGTATGATAAAATGCATCTGTGAGTTTCCTGTGCTGAAAGTACTGTTTGTGACTATAATTGGATTCATTAAACCCAACTAGGCAGTTTATTTAATCAGTAAGCTAGATTGGCAGACAATGTGATAGAAACTATTTATTTATGACATGTTTAATATTTTACATTAATATAAAAGCTGTTGCTTTGGCACATAATCAGATAAACTTGAAGCCAGCAACAAGTATCATGAACTCTTCCCACTCAAATTAACTCTCCTCCCACATCCACACACCAGGTATCATGGAGCCATCGGAGTATGTAGCCCTGAGGACACCCTCACACTGTGGATAAGGAAACCCAGCATGGAAACCAAGGGAGGAGTTTGACTTGTCAGTCAGCCAGCAAAGACCCATTGTACTAAGTCATCTACAGAAGTACTGGGCTTAAAGATATCTGCCTGTTTTCTCTGGGTACCTTTTTATCCTCTGAATTACCGCATTCAGGTGAAAGGACTCTCAACCAATCTTTATTTTTTTTAATTGAAACTTTTTAGGAAGAGTGATACTAGCATCTGCTAATTACCTACCAAAAAAGTGGACATAATAGTTACAGAGAAACAAGCATAAATGGATGCTTCTTATCTTCTTATGGTTAATCATCAGAAAAATCAAAGAGCACTTCGCAACATTTCCCATTTTATTTCAATCGGCTGGTTACAACCAGATGCATTAGTTCATTCAAAGGATACTGGATTTATGGAAAACTGCTATAAATTATTTAAAATGTAATTTTACTGTTTCTTACATAAGGACAACCTGATGAAATTACTCTGGAGAACTCTTTTCTGCCTCATGCAGGCATACTACACAAAAGACAACTTTGATAAAGCGAGTTCTATAACGTTTTCAGGAAGAGCATTGTATATTCAAATGTCAAAACTAATGTTATATTTGAGAATATTATTACTTCTTTTTTAAAATTTTAATGGTCATTATGAAAGTGATATTACCCTTAGAAATTATTTAACAAAAATATAAACTGCATTTCCAAACTAATATCATTTGAATTTCATTTTTCTCTCTGGCGAATCATTTCACTGGGAGAAGGAATTGGCCTGTATTCTACAGTGAAAGATGTGAAGTTGATGGAAACACTGTAATTTGACAGTGCATGACTTTTATTACAATGAAAACATTAGCGACATCTATAATGATTAGGTTATACAACTACACAAACACACACCAAATTAAGTAACTTCATTCCACAGGCTATGACAATTCTATTAAAGCAACAACCTCATGTAACTCCTATAACTGCCATTCAATCAGGCACTCTCACTTTCAATTCGCAACATAACATAAAACCCACATATACAGTACATGTCGTTTTTCCCATGCCTCTCAGCTGCTCTCTGTCTGCACACATAGGCACATAACAATATCTACTAGCCCTTTAAGAACCATGTTTAAAACTGTAACCTCAGACTCAAATTAAGAAAAGAGAAAAATGGACGTCTTTACATGCTGCTTGTTTTTGAAAGAAATTTCATATCAAAGCAATGCAAGGAGCAAAAATAGCATGCTCAAAGTGCTCCTATAAAGTTCTCGAGTGGGAAGAGGTGAAACTAAAGCAATATTGGTAAACCAAATCACTCTATCCACTTAACTCAGGCTGTACAAACCTTCCTAACCATTCTGCAATGCTGAGACGTGTCAGCTGTCTTTATTACAGGACTCCCAAATTTCAACATCTGACTCCAAATGCAACCATCTCCATTCAAGCCCTCAGATCTTGCAACCCACAGACCAGTAAGGATGCCACTCAGCATTCTCCCCAAAACAGAGAAAATGGATTCTGCATGTGGCAAAGAGATTTCATAGCGGTTTAAAGCAGCTAGTCCGTATCTGAGGATGTCCCCACCCCTATCTGTCACACTTCGAGAGCGAGGCCCCAGAATCATGCAGTTTCATCCCTGTAACTCGATCATGGACGTATGAAACACTTCATGGGATTTTATAAGTGGTGCAGCTCCAAAATCTTTAAATCCCGTAGGTGAATTAGTAACAGCCAAGTGATGAACTGAACTACCAGCAGCAGCCTAAGCTGCGACTGTAGGGATGCACAATGAGGTAACTCTTCGGTAGTTTCAGCACCTCCCTGTTTCCACGGAAGACGCTGCAGAAAATCCCCAGCGTTTAGGATAGTGGGCACACAGTTCCTAAAAGTGAACATCCCTGCCTGTCAGAGCCAGCACTATGTCTAACAGATCCCTTTTTCTTAAAGCAACCTATTGACTTGATAACAGTAGGCATGCCTGTGACTACCACCTTTCAGAGCCAAAGCAAATCGGGTCTTTCAAAGGAGGCACGCAAGGGGGAACATCTTGGCCCCACAACCTGCATTCTTTTTCTCTTTCCCCACACCCTTCATGGCCCCCACACTGACAGGGACACGCAACTTGGGCGTTTTGGAAGTAACTGTTCTTTGTGGGAAACACACACACACGCACACACACGCACACACACGCCAGCCATGCCTGAGACTGTTTTCCTGCCATGCAGACCAGGGAGGCCGCACCACATCTAATGACTTAATTCTGAACGTAGTAGTGGCTCCAAGCGGCTGAGTAGTAATCGATGGAAACACATTACACCCCAGAATCGGAGGCAGGTCTGCAAAAAAAAGGAGCAGCGGCTCTCCTTTCGCCATGAATTACCGGTCACCCAAACATCGCATCGCAGTCTCCCCGCACGCAGTCCCCAGCTCTGCAAACCTGGGGTTCAGGCGGCGCTGCTTCCCAGAACCTCGCTACCTATTGTCAGGACGCTGAAGCCCCCGAAACCTGTGAATCGAGCTGGAGGGAAAAAAAATGCTTGCTCGGAAGCCGCTAAATATAGACCGAGGGGGGCTGTGGGGCTGGCAAGCGGCGAGAGACCCAAGACACGGCCCTGGATGCATAGGACTAAGTATGTCCATGTTCTAGCCACACATCCTAATGACATTGAACATAAGGGCAAGAGACTGGAGGGAAGTCCTCCCCGCCCCCACCCGTCTTCTCCTCGCTAAGAGGGACGTCATGTATGCAGCGTGTATGTGCTGGACGGTGGCAGGGAGCAGTATGGTTAGCGTTGCCCTATATACGTCTCCTTCTCCGGGGGAGATGGGTGGCGGGGAGGAGGGGGAGCACGCGGGAGAAGCCACTTGGTAAACGCTCCCAGCAAGGCACTAGCCGGGCCCCCATCCCAGCAGAGCCTCCTCTGAGAGGGGACCCGGCGCGATCGCGGTCCTGCCCCGGTGATCGGGACCACGCAGCCGCCACCGCGCCGGCCGGAGCCCGGGACCAACCCCCACCGGCGGCCGGGAGGAGGAGGAGGAGGAGGAGGAGGAGGAGGAGGACGCCTCGGAAAAGGACGCGTCTGGCCCCGGCAGCCCGGCGCAGGCAACTCACCGAAAGGCGCGGCGCCCGGTTTCTTCTTGGCGAACATGCACCCGCCGCGAGCGACAGCTCCTCAGTCCGGGGCGGGGGAGGCGTGCGCGCCTCCCGGCTTCAGGGCAAGGTCCTGACCTTGCCCAGCGGCAGCAGCATCCTCCGCTTTTGTTGTCTGGGCGCCGCCGCGGGAAGAGGCTGCCGGCGGGAGCCGGGCGAGCGCCGCGGGGGAGAGGCGGCTCCCGGCGCGGGTGCGCGGCGCCCGGCCCGGCTGCCCCTCCGCTCGGCTAGCGCAGCGCCCCCTGCCCGGCTCCGCGCGCTCCGCCGGCCCGAGCTCCTGGGGGCTCCCGGCGGCTCCTGCAGACGCCTCCCCGGGCTCCGGGCACCGCGGGGCTGGGGAGCTGCCGCCGCCGCGCCCGCCGCTCCGCTCGGCCGGTGCAGCCACGGGCGCGAGCCTGCAGCCGCCGCGGCGCCCGGCGCCGAGCGCTCCCGAGTGCGCCCCGCGCGCCACCTGCGCCGCCGCCGCCGGCGAGGCTCCTCCCGCGGCTCCTCCACCTCCGCCTCCGCCTCCGCCTATGCCCCGGCGGCCGGCTCGGGCGCCCGGCGACTGAGGGAGCGTCCGCCCCGCCGCCCAAAGCTGCCCCGGGCACCGAGCATGCCCAGTGCCGCCGCCAGAGCGCCAGGCTTGGCAGCGCGCGTTCCACTTCTCCTGGTTTTCCAGGCAGCAGGGCGGCAGCGGGAGCGAGGGGAGGAGGACCCGGCTGGGAGAGGGCCGAGCATCCTCGGGAGCACACGCCCTGGCCCCTAGATGGGAGGAAGGATGCTGGGGAACCCGGCTGGAGCTAGAAGGGACCAGGGAGGCCTGGGACCGGTTCGCCAAGGGCCGGTTCCTTCGTTTCCAAAGCAGATGCTGGCTGTTTGTTGTGGTGGGGCCACTATCAGGCTGTAAACAAAGGGCCAAGGGCGGAGGGGGTTCTAGAAGAGCTTGTGGGTGTGTGTGCTGTTGGGTGCAGAAGGATGCTCTCAGATCCTAGGGTTCTAGAGCAAAGAAGGCAGGACATCCATCCGCACACGGTCCCCCCCACGGTGCCCGTCCAATCTGGCAGCCACCTCCAGTGCTTAGAGGAAACACACTTTTCACAGAAGGAAAGACTTTCTCCCTAAACAAAACCCCTCTGGTTTTGTATCTGGAGTGGAGGTAATCTTTCTGCAAGAAAACCCTTGTCTAGTCTGGACCTGGAATGCATTCCAAGGACAGGGCTCTCCTCCTGCTGCTTCCACTCGTCCTTCTTTCTACTTTCGCACCTCTGCCACTTTCTCTTCCTCCTCCTCCTCATTCCCCTCTCAGGGCTAAAACGGAAACCCTCACCTGTTCTTTTCCCATAGTCTTTCTATATGCGCTGGGCTGCGTTCTTAATTTTCAGATTGGTTTTCCCGATTGTCTCATGGTTTGACAGCTCATGGACTCCATCCATGCCTCTCTTGCTGTGAAATACAGCAAGCGGAATCGCTTTAGTGAACAGAGAAAGTCTCATGTTAGGAAGCAAGACCAATGCCATGAGCCAAGGAGGTCCTCTGGGCCTTCACCTGCCCTTCACTCTAGCAGAGCACAGCCTGCCCAGGGGCCGGGCAAGTGGCCCCCTCATTAGGCCACAGCTCACTCTCCCTGATCCTGTAGAGACAAGACTGCCTGGGGTTGTGATCTAACCACTCCATCCCTCCCCGGAGCCGGTTTCTGAGACCCAGATAAGCAGACAAGAATGCAGGAAATGGTTATCAGAGGGAGTTGGGGGCTGATGGGTCTCAGCAACCAAAGTACTTCTCTTGTGTCAGCAGACATTGTCCAGCAAAGGCAAATGACTGGACTATTTATTCAGGGCTATTCTTTTTTATGCTTTGAAGTAAGTTAAAATGTAACTTTAAGTAAGAGCAAAGGAGGAGACTTTGAGACGGGCTAAATGGGTAAAAGCAAGGAGCAGCAGATTAGACACGGACTTTTGACAGCAGTGCAAATGTTTGTTTTTAATCCTCCTACCGCCAGGATGGACCTGTATGGACTGGCTTGGTCTGGCCTCCAAAGTAGTTCTCCATATTGAAATGGCCCGGATTCCCGTGAGGGAAGACACTGCAGGGCCATTTTTCAGCACCTGTTGAACTACATTTGTTACTTTAGTTGTCAGAAAGGCCGGTCAATTACTGTGGAGTACTTGGTACTAGACGAATTAGCAACACTATCCATTAGGCCACATTACTTTTGAAAGGATGCTCTCTGTACCTATCTTAGCTTCAGTCAACACTCTTCTTTGCATCTTTTAACTCAAGAAGTCATTTGCGGGAGGTGGGGGGCACAGATCAGTTACATTTTGGATTAAATTTGAAACAGATGCATAGATACTATACCGACAGTGTGTGTCTTTTATGCCTATATAGATCTAAGTTAAGAAAATTGTTTTTGGAAGTTTTTTTAGAGTCACTTTTTTGAGATTAGCAATCATACAGCTGATTTTCTAATTGCGATCCTTCAAAATAACCCATAGACAGTCCCTATAGACTTTTTTAGAGGGAATACGAGGTGGGTATTTAAGGAAATCAGTGATGCCCTTGACTACTTAGATTTATTTTATTCTGTGCTTGATTCCTTTGAGACATTTGTGATTTTTATTCTTCTAAAATAATTTGTAACTTAAGATATTATTAAATGCACACGTGGGTAATATTGAAAAATTAAAGCCAGGAGATCATGTGTAGTGTTAGATCTTGGAACGACTCACTACTGCCATCTTTTGCCTCCTACTTCTGGTAGTTCCTGTAAAGAGGAATGTTCTGAATTCCTCAATTCATTAAGAGATGAGAAAATTATTAGCTTATTCTCATAAAATTATAGATCTCAATGCTAATTGAGAAATCTTTATTGTTTCTTCTTATGTTTATATGTCAATATATTTATGTGATACAGAAATCACACCTAAATACTAACTCTTGTATCTCTTGATTTCTCAAATCACTTTCCAAAATTTGAGGCAAATATATTTTTATATGGAAGTTTTAATTAAATTTTAGGAATCAAACCCATTAATTAAAAATATTTTATAAACTTATGTATCATATTTTATAATTTAAAATATGCCAATGTTAGGAGAGCAGACCTGTATTCAATTCAAAGCAATTGAAATGTAGTACTTCATCTTACTGTTGAAGTTCAAATAGAAGGTAATATTTCTATAATGTTTAATGTGAATTACCCATTAATAAACAAATGGAAATTTTTCAAGTTCAGACATAAATTATGCTAGTGATCATTGTTGATGGCCCACATTTAAACAGAGTAATGACACTCCCTTAGAATATACAATTTAAATTTTTATATCAAAGTCTCTAGAATAGTAGCTCAGTAGTGTCATAATAATTTTTCATGTTATACATGTATGTACATATATGGAGGGGGCTAATATGTTATTGCTCATAAAAGATATGCATTTGTTACTAGAGAATTCTACTCTGTTGTTTAAGACTTTCCAAATAGTTAACTAATTAGAATTAAACATGTTAGCTAAGATCAATGTTCAGGTCATTTCACTATTTGATTAAAAACTTCACACTTTCCCACAAACTACCTTTTAATACAACTTCTACCGTATTTTCCAGCATATATGATGACCGGGCATATAAGACGACCCCCTAATTTTACAGTTAAAACAGGTTTAGGCCTATGTTTTAACTGTAAAATTAGGGGGTCGTCTTATACGCTGGAAAATATGGTACTCAAATGATAGTATCATTCATTTATTTATTCATTCATTTACCAGCAAATGTGTATTGAGCTTCTATTGTGGTTCAGACATTGGGCAAAATTTAGAGGACTAATAGTGACAATAGATAAGACAAAATCCCTACCCTTGAGGCCTTTATGTATAAACTAGAGGCCCAGTGCATGAAATTTATGCACTGGAGGGGTGGGGGTCCCTCAGCCTGGCTCTCGGGGGATGTCCGTGACCCCTTGCCCTTACCACAGGCCTAATCACTGCTCCTTAATGCTACCTCAGAGGCGGGAAAGGCTCCCTCCACTGCCACTGTGCTCGCCAGCCATGAGCCTGGCTTCTGGCTGAGTGGCATTCCCCCTGTGGGAGTGCACTGACCACCAAGGGCAGCTCCTGCATTGAGTATCTGCCACCTCATGGTCAGTTTGCATCATAGCGGCCAGTCATTCCACCGTTCAGTTGATTTGGATATTAGGCTTTTATTACATAGGATTGGGATTGGTGAATGATAGGAGAAAAGGAAGCCACAGAGGAAATAACCACATTCAGAGATCTTCATTTCCTTCTAATTCTCTATGTGCTATGAGGTGTTGACAATTCTTTTACTCACCTCCTTTCCTCCCATGTCTTCTCAATGTCTTTCCTCTTCAAGGGTTTTTGTTTTTTATGCCAGGACAGAGGCGGCATAATGAGGAAATGGGACCTATCGATAGTATGCTGAAGCAAAGCAAGGAGAGAAAAGAGAGAGTGTACTCTGCAGTGGTTGAAGTTCTTGGAGACGCAATGGATCCAGGAGTGGACTCCTGAAGCAATCAGAGAGCAGTGGCATGTCTACATAAAGGCCCACATGTGTGAATCAGAAGTCACCTGGTACTAAAATATCTAAATTCAATGTAGGCTGGTTAGGCATAGAGAAAAAAGGATCAGCATTATTGATCAGAATTGGACAGTGGGTCAGAAGTTTAGGTTGACAGACATTGATGAATTGCATATACAGATAAGAAGGCATCAAATAATGGACTGTGACACTTGACACAGAATCTTAATAACAGACACTGGCAAAAGGAAAAATAAACTCTATCCTATGATTTATCAGCAATGCTTATAGAATTTCCAGGCTCCTAGAGAATGAAGGTTTTGACTCCCTGAATTGACTGCCTTAATGTCTACATTCAAGAATAGGAAGGAGAAATTGCATGCAATGAGATCCAAAGAGTAGACTAGGGTATTTTTATCAGAGTTCATTCTAGTTAGGCACAGTTGATGTAGTATCACAATTGCTGGCTCCTAATCGCTCACCTGCCTGCCTGCCTGGTCACACCTAACTGCCCCCCATTGCCAGCCTGGTCGCCCCCACCTGCACCCCCACCAGCCTGGTTGTCTCTAAATGAACCTCTCACTGGCCTGGTCACATCTTACTGCCCCCCCACCCCCACCCCGCTGGCGTGGTCATCCCCAACTGTCCCCCTCTGCTGACCTGGTTCTCCCAACTCCCCCCACACACCCCCCCATGCTGGCCTGGTTCTCCCAACTCCCCCCTTGCCAGACTGGTAATCTCTCATGGCCCTTCTGCTGGCCTGGTCACACAGTCTGCTTGTTCAGTCATTGGGTCATCTCTCACTAATCCCCCTGCCAGCCTGGTCATAGACAGCCATCTTTTGAGGGTTAATTTGCATATTAACTCTTTATTATATAGGATGATCATATATACTGTAGTTCCAAGAACAAAAGCTTGGGGTCATTAACAAGTTTTAACCTTGCTACTGATTGTAAAAAATAATAATTGATTAATCACATAGCAAGCCTCAAAACAGTCCTGCATAAACAAGAAGAATCTACAAATTAATGTTGACTTTTCTTCAGTCATACTTCCTCAGATTCGGCTTTTTC